GGGTTCCGAGGTTGCCAGACATCAACAACAATCCCTCTCACGTGGTCTCCAAGGGGACCCGTGAGATACCAAACGCATCAAAGCGATCCTGATGCCAAGCGGAGTGTGTGCTTCTCGCCTCTCCGGCGTCCGATCAGCCCCCAAGGGCCTGCAGATGCCCCTGAGATGGGCCGCAGCAGGGCCCATGATTGCCCAATGTCAGCTTACAGTGAACAATACACTCGTACGTGTCCAGCGGTCTTCGAACGGCGAGGCCAACGTAAGCCGCTTGCGGCTACTCATCTACGTCCTCCCTGCGAAGCTCAGAGCAGTCCACCGACTGGCGCGTTGGCAAAATTGCTGTCGGAAGGCGGAGTGCGCTAAGGATGGCCAGGTTCGAAGGACTTTTCGACCTACGACTGGCTCAAGAGGGCCCTGGGACCGCTCACGTCGCCTCCCCAGGACAAACCCAAACGACCCAAAGAGGGCCGCAATACTACCCGAGAGGGCCTCAGGAGAGCCTCGGGACGGCCCAAGGGGGCCAAACTAAAGAGGGATCTCCTCCTCATGTCCCCCTCCTTCTCCTCCTCCTCCTCCTTCCATTTGTCCTCCTCCTCCTCCTCCTCCTCCTCCTCCTCCTCCTCCTTCCATTTGTCCTCCTCCTCCTCCTCCTCCTTCCATTTGTCCTCCTCCTCCTCCTCCTCCTCCTCCTCCTCCTCCTCCTCCTCCATTTGTCCTCCTCCTCCTCCTCCTCCTCCTCCTCCTCCTCCTCCTTCCATTTGTCCTCCTCCTCCTCCTTGTCCTCCTCCTCCTCTCCTCCTCTTCCTCCTCCTCCTTTCCTCCTCCTCCTCCTCCTCCTCCTTGTCCTCCTCCTCCTCTTCCTCCTCCTCCTCCTCCTCCTCCTCCGTCCTCCTCTGTCCTCAGCTCGGCCCGCGCCACGGGCGCTCCCCGCGCCGCCTCCGCCTCCGTCTCTCGTCCCCGCGCCCCCCCGCTGCTCGCCTGGCGCCGCCGTGGTGCGAGCGAGGAGGAGGAGGAGGAAAGAGGAGGAGGAGGAGAAGGAAAAAAGAGGAGGAGGAGGAGGAGGAGGAGGAGGAGGAGGAGGAGAGAGAGGAGGAGCAGGAGCAGGAGCAGGAGGAGGAGGCGGAGGAGTGCGAGGAGGCAGGGCGCCCGCGGCGCTCCCGCCGCGCCGCCGCGGGGCGCCGCGCCCCGGCAGGGCCGGCGCAGGGCGGAGCGCGCAGACGCTGCGCTGGACCTCCGGCGGCCTCGCCCACCGCGGGTGCCTCCTTCCCCCTCCTCCTCCTCCTCCTCCTCCCTCCTCCTCCTCCTCCTCCTGCTTCTCCTCCTCCTCCTCCCTCCTCCTCCTCCCTCCTCCCTCCTCCTCCTCCTCCTCCTCCTCCTCCTCCTCCTCCTCCTCCTCCTCCTCCTCCTCCTCCGGCGGCCTCGCCCACCGCTCGGGTCGGGCGAAAGGGGGGGATAGCAAAGGGGGGGTTTGAGAATCAGCTCACGTAGCTGATTTTCCCGGCGCCTCCCGGCGCCGGGAGGCGCCCACGTATCGAGGAATGGGCCCCTCGGTGGGGCCGAAACCAGCTACATGCAGCAAATTTCGTAACCCCCCCTTTCCCAATCCCCCCCTTTCGTCCGGCCCGAACCGCGGGTGCCGCCCGACGGGGATGGGCGAGGACCCTCCAGGCGGCACTGCTCGCTGGCACGGTTGTGAAGTCAGGCCTGTCCCCCTACAGGGGGACTGTTCAAACATAGTAAAAAAAATGATGGGGGGACGACTTGTGGACCAGTGGTTGAATATCTGGGGGGGGGCATTGTTTGACTATGTGTTATTTTCGCCCAATGGCCCCCTGTAGGGGGGACAGGCCCGACTTAACACTGTTGTCCTGCTCGCGCTTGCAGGTCGTAGGACACTCGTGCGCGGAACTGTTCTATCCCATGAGGCCTGCAGAGAAACACCTCCCGAACGCCCAACCGACTCGGATAAGACGCTTTGCCTCCAAACCGCGTCGGCAGGGGACCTCCTTGGAGCCGTCGAGACAGACCCATGGAAATCGTGAGCAGCTGCCCATTATCTGGCTGAGCCTCTTTGTAGCTTCTCAAAAACGCGGGCAAATCCAGGATAAAGGCCCAGGGGTCGTTTTGCTTCAATGTCTGGCTTCGGTGCGACAAGATGACGAGCCTGGCAATCTGCGACGGGACCCTGGAGGTCATCTGCACGAGCCGAAAGAGCATCGACAACACGTCCAGGGAATCGTCTGACAGCGCAGAACAATGCATGGGACGCCAGCCGTCTGGAGCGCAAGTAGGTCGCTTGAAACTGGCAGGATGCATGCGGATCTAATCGATGCTTGGCCTAACCCCGACAGGCAGACTTCTGGGCGCGATGTCAACGGGGCAGTGTTGCGCGCCAGAGGCAGTCCAAGCTTTGGGCCGAACTCTGCATTGATGCAAAGCCCCCTGGGACATCGAAATGCCGCGGAACTCCTTCGAAATCTGGTCGTCAGTGAGTTCTCCTTGGGGGCCCTGGGTGACGTGCTGACGCGGGGTCCCCTTGCGGTATCTATGGGCACCCTTGAAGCCATTCTTGCCAATGGCCTCCTGGCAGTAGCTCTTCCAACCTTTCCTATCCAGATGTTCCCCAGAGGATGCTATCTTTGAGGCGGATGGAAGAGCCTGCGAGGTCGTCCAAGAGGCCCGCACCCTCAGGGCTCCCGAGGAGGAGCGCGCCCATGGTCTTCAGGATCGGGCGCCAATCAAACGGGAGCACCCATGCATGCCTGAAATGAACGACTGGAATGTCAAGCTTCGCAGGTTGGACGCCAAGAGTGCGGAGGTACGTGCTTGAGCTCGGGCCATCTCCCTTCTTGAAGATAGCCCTGATCTCTCGGATCCCCTGCCACCCATCCCACCGCCCTGGGAGGTGGGGGGTAGGAGGGTGTTCTTCTCGCCAAAACTTTGCGCGCCGGCTTGGGCGCCCACTCCAGTGGGCGCCCAGCTGGTGCGCCCCGTGGTTCAGCACCTGTGAAAAACGAGAGCTCGCTTCAAGCCCAGTCGTTCCAGGCCGAAGGAGAGCGGTCAAGAAATTCGCGCGCTTGATCTAACTGAGGTCCCGCGAAGGCGACGCGCTGAACGTTCGCTCCTCCGGCAGCGTCGGAAAAGGGGGCAAGGTCGTCATTCATCGTCGGGATGTAGTTCGGAGGGACAAGGGGCGGGCCCTTAATCGAGGCGGCAGGGATCCGTAATCTCCCGGCACTTCTGACCTGGCCGAGCGGCCGCCGAGCTTAGATTCAAACGAAAAAACGAAAAGGTCCATGAAGTTCAAGGGCCGTCGAAACGTCCGCGAGCACGTCGCGTTCTGCTTCGAGACCTCTGTGCGCGGTGCAAAAAACCTCGCGTTCTCCACTTCTTCGTGCTCCACTACGCCGACACGAGTAGGGGCGCGCACTGGGGCCCCAACTGCACCTCAGATAAGCCGGGGCGGGCCGCGAGGAGACCGCGGCGGGAGGGGCGTCGAAACCAGACCCCACGACGCACGGAAAGTCGATCTGGCTATCCCACGGGCGCGCGCCCTCGGCATCGCGAGAACGCCCGGAGTAGACCGCCAAAGCCCCGAGGACCCGAAAAGATGCCCAGGAACGACTTCAGGGCGCTTGCCCCAAGCTTCAGGGTGGCCCTTCTCAAGAACAACCCCCAGACTGAAGGGGCCCTGGGACACGCAAATAAATGCGCCCCCAAAAAACAGGATTCCGTATTTTTTCCCCATATCTTCTTGGTTCTTGTCTCCCCCCCCACTTCCCATATTTTCCCATATTTGCCTAGGGAATCGAGGATTACTTGTGTCTGTGTGTTTTTCCCCTCCTGACAGACACCTTTCCACTCTCCATCTCGTCAGCAGGAGCCCCAAAAACACGCCGACGTTGCCCCCGGAGTTGGTGCTGGGTCTTCGGCGACTTGGTGGTGGTGGGGGGGAACCTGTGTGTCTGACTGGGCGCGACGTCCTAGTTCTCGGAAGACCATGGAAATGGCCCCCTGCCAGTCGCCCAGGAATTCGCATTGCACGCGACGGCGCCCAAGCACAAGATGGGCGGCTTCCTCGGCGCTCGGGCCCGAGCGTCTTCGCGCTCAGGTCGTGCCGGAGGCTTCGGGCGAAAATGAAGCTCACGCCGATGCGGCGCCCACTTGGCCTTCAAGCTGGAGAGGGCCTCGGCGCTATATTCTCACAGCACTTCCATCCATGTCTCAAGAGGAAGCGTGAGATCCTCCAGCTGGAAGTCGATGCCCCAAAAGTAGGTCTCGGCATTCGGGCGCTGTATTTTCCGATCGGATCGGGCGACGTGACATCTCGGGTAAGATGCGCGTGGAGCAAACTGTCCACCGCTGCTGTGGATGTGATCTGCGACGCTGTATCCTCGCACTTGCCATTGTAACCTGTCTGGTCACGCGTGGTGCCTGCCCAGTCGGAGTAGCGAAATACGAAGCCCTGGTGGTATGCGGAGTCGGCGAACACATAGGAAGTCACCGACTTACTGATGTCCCCGACGGCCGAGAAGAGTCACCGTGGTAGTTGCTACACAAAAGGTCCAGCGGGAACAGGCCGAGCAGCATCGCGGCATTTGCTTTTCGCTTTGGCAGCCACCATGTTTGTTTTTCCATACATGTTGTAAACTTCTTCTGGCGCCATCGTCTTGGGGCTGGGCTTGGGCACTTCGGTCGATGCCTGCGGTGTGCCTGCAGCTTTCGGCACCTCAGTCTTTTCGGCATGCGTCGGAGCAGGCGCCTCAGGGCCACCAGCTTCAGAGCTTGCTGAGCCCGATGACGCACCACCTGGCACTGGTACTTGCTGACCGTCGCCATCACGGCGGCGACGCGCGACGCTTGGCTTGCACCCAGTCGTTGTAGCGCTTCTGCTCCTCAAAGATATCATTAGCTTTCTCCTGGGGCCGCTTCGCGAGCTGCCTTGTGGACGAGTGTGAGCGAGCAACTTCGACTCGCGACGGTCCAATTCTTCATTGTCCTCATCGGTGGCTTCGGCTCCGTCCAGCCCGCTGAGGCCGAAGAGTCCTGCCGTCATCGAACTCAATGGCTTTTCCTGCCACCGTACCGTCGGGGCGTTGACCTAAGGAACCCTAAATAGGGAACGAGACCCCTTTTTCCCATGAGTTAAACGTCGATTTCTGGTCGAAAACCTAAGGAAAACTGAGGGAAGCTGCGACACACTTAAGGAACGCGGAGCCCCTCCCCAACGAAAAGGGTTCCTTCTTCAGGGCCCCGACTGTACATGCATGTGGGGGAGGAGGAGGAGGAGGAGGAGGAGGAGCAGGAGGAGGAGGAGGAGGAGGAGGAGGAGGAGGAGGAGGAGAAGGGGAGGGGTTCCTTCTTCAGGGCCCCGACGGTATCCTCCAAAGTGCTGCGTGGCACCGTCGACGTCGGCGGCTCCACGCGGCTCAACCCTGCCTGCCAGGCCACGCGCGGCCTCCTCGTGGATGCTCTCACGCTCCTCGTACGCGCTGAAGGCCACTGCCGCTGCGGCACGCGCCTCGCGCGCCTGCTCCTCCAACGATTCGGCACTTGCCGCAGTTCTGTCAATCTGCCACTTGGCCTGCTCCATGGTGTGCTCTGCGCATCCGGTCGACTGTTGTGAAGGGGCCCCAGGACACACAAATACATACACACAAATAAAAAGATCCCCATATGTTCCCATATTTTCGGGGTTCGTCTTCCCCCCCACTGCCCATGTTTTCCCATCTTTTCCTGGGAATCGACGATTCATTGTGTTTGTGTGTTTTTTCCCTCTCCTGATGTTGGGGCGCTGGGGCTGCGGCCCCTCCAACTCCTGAATCACAGACTGGTAATCGGGCAGCATCGGCGTGGTCGCCCACGTCCGGCATGGACTTGTGGAGGGGTCGCAGGGACGGCAGCTGGCCGACGGTGTACCGTCGGGGCCTTGACCTAAGGAACCTAAAATAAGGAACGAGGCCCATTGTTTTCCATAAGTTCATCTTCGATTCCCCATCGAAAACCTAAGGACAACCTAAGGCAAGCTGCGAAACAATTAAGGAACACGGAGCCCCTCCCCAACGAAAAGGGTTCCTTGTTCAGCGCCCCGACTGTACGGGCATGTTTTGTGAGCGCCTGGAAGTACCGAGGACCATCCCGGCTGCCTTAGCTGCAGGCCCACGGGCCGAACGCCACCATCAGGAGGGACAGCACCAGCAGGGAGGAGGCCACCAAAGCAAACACAACCCCCTGGGTCGCGGTTGCCTCAGACACCTGGGGACGCGTGGCGCTGCCACTCGACGATCTGGACTTCCTTCGTGGCGCCTCCGCAGTGCTTGCGTCACTTCAAACACCCGCACGATACTCATGTCCATCTCGCCTTGGACAGGTTGGTGTTGGTCCACTGCGACCACTGCTTGCCACTCCACTTGGTAGACCAACCGTGTCCATCGCGCCCCATATACCGTGGTGCGGGACCTGCCCAGTGGCGCGAAAGGGGAAAGGTCCCTCGGCCTGAGCGGTAGAAGTGATGCTCCACCGGGAGCTCACTGAAAGAAGGCCTGTGCCCGAAACATCCTCGGGCCTGCCGCGGCTGCGGGCAACCTCGAAGCTTCGCGACACGGGTTTCGAACTTGAGCCAGAATGGCTTGAGCCAGAATCGCTACGGCGTCTCTCCGCCCTCTTCGCTCCCTCTCCCCCGCCTCCCGATCCTACCCGACGAGTGCTCGTGGGACATCATCAGGAGACCGAGGCAAGGGGAGGGGAGCTTGGGGGGACCAGGGCAGGCACGGGAGGGGAAGAGGCAAGAGAGGGAGGAGGAATACAAGCAAGAGGGAAGGAAGGGGGGCAAGAGGGAAGAAGGAACACGGAAGGAGGAGGCGGGAGAGAGACGTGAAAAAGTAGGAAGCGAATAACACGAATAATAATGTGATTACTGCTGAGACTAATAATACTAATAATGATATGACGAATGATACTACCAATGCTACGAATAGTAATGCTAATACTGCTGATAGTAATAATAATAGTAGTAATAGTAAGAATAAGAATGCTGATGCTATTAATGATATAGAAATAATAACAATAATAGTAATAGCAACAATAATAATAATAATAATGATAATAAGCTTAATCAGAGTAAGAAGAATAGCAAGAATGATATTAATAATACGGATAAGACTGATGATATAATAATGCTAACAACACTAACAACAATTATCCTGGCGAAGGGCCCAACCATGCGCAATTCCGAATGCCGCCGTTGTAAGTATCGTCGTTGGTGGAACACCCGATGGGGCCACGAAGCGTGTGAGAGGTGCGCCAAATGGAGGTGGAACTGCATGCGGACCCTGCCACTGGGGCCTTCGGTGGAGCACCCTGTGGGGCCGCGAAACGTGTGAGGGGTGCGCCGAAATGGAGGTGGAACTGCATGCGGACCCTGCCATTGGCGCCCTCGGTGGAGCTCCCTATGGGGCCGCGAAACGTGTGAGGGGTGCGCCGAAATGGAGGTGGAACTGCATGCGGACCCTGCCACTTGGGCCTTAGGCGGAGCTCTCTATGGGGCCACGAAACGTGTGAGGGGTGTGCCGAAATGGAGGTGGAACTGCATGCGGACCGTGCCACTTGGGCCTTAGGCGGGGCTCCCTATGACGCCACGAAACGTGTGAGGGGTGCGCCGAAATGGAAGTGGAACTGCATGCGGACCCTGCCACTTAGGCCTTAGGCGGAGCTCCCTATGGGGCCACGAAACGTGTGAGGGGTGCGCCGAAATGGAGGTGGAACTGCATGCGGACCCTGCCACTGGGGCCTCAGGTGGAGCTCCCTATGGGGCCACGAAGCGTGTGAGGGGTGCGCCGAAATGGAGGTGGAACCGCATGCGGACCCTGACACTTGGGCCTTCGGTGGAGCTCCCTATGGGGCCACGAAACGTGTGAGGGGTGCGCCGAAATGGAGGTGGAACCGCATGCGGACCCTGACACTTGGGCCTTCGGTGGAGCTCCCTATGGGGCCACGAAACGTGTGAGGGGTGCGCCGAAATGGAGGTGGAACCGCATGCGGACCCTGACACTTGGGCCTTCGGTGGAGCTATGGGCCTGTGAGGGGTGCGCCGAAATGGAGGTGGAACCGCATGCGGAACTGGGGCCTTCGGTGGAGCTCCCTATGGGGCCACGAAACGTGTGAGGGGTGCGCCGAAATGGAGGTGGAACCGCATGCGGACCCTGACACTTGGGCCTTCGGTGGAGCTCCCTATGGGGCCACGAAACGTGTGAGGGGTGCGCCGAAATGGAGGTGGAACCGCATGCGGACCCTGACACTTGGGCCTTCGGTGGAGCTCCCTATGGGGCCACGAAACGTGTGAGGGGTGCGCCGAAATGGAGGTGGAACCGCATGCGGACCCTGACACTTGGGCCTTCGGTGGAGCTCCCTATGGGGCCACGAAACGTGTGAGGGGTGCGCCGAAATGGAGGTGGAACCGCATGCGGACCTTGCCACTGGGGCCTTCGGTGGAGCTCACTATGGGTCCACGAAACGTGTGGCCATGATGGAGACGGCGATGATGATGACGACGATGGTGATAAGAACGATGATGATGATGATGATGATGATGATGATGATGATGATGATGATGCTGATGATGACGGTGACGATGACGATGATGATGATGATGCTGATGATGACGGTGACGATGACGATGATGATGATGCTGATGATGAGAGGAGGAGGAGGAGGAGGAGGAGGAGGAGGAGGAGGGGGAGGAGGGGGAAGAGGAGGAGAGGAGAGGACGCGGGCACCGTCTCTTCAAAACGAGGACCCAACACCACAGGATGGTTGGGAAAAAAACAATAAGTAGGGGGAAGAGGGAGGGAGTGCGGCTGAAGACGCGATGGCGACGGCGCTGGGCCGATCACGCCCCGATTTTGCTGCGCACCTACAGTGGCTGCTGTCACTACTGGCGATCCTCTGGCAAACCCAGAAGGCCCCACGGCGCAAAAAAGAAAAAGAAACTCGACTCACCCCTAGCAGCGTGGTTCCTCGGACTGGGTATCGCTTGAGCACCTCGGGGCGGGTTCCGAGAGAATCTCGCACTTGTCGACGGCCAGCAACCCCAGGATAATGAGACCCGCGTCAGTGCGTGCTTGCATGTGCACCTCTGAGGTGGAACGTTAGGGGGGACCTTCTCAGGGGGGGAACATCGAGCTGGAATCGGCGATGCATCGGAGGAACTGGCGATTGGGGGTCGATGCGTCCCCTCTGAGCCTGTCCCCCCCCCAAACATTCCTCCCGAACCTGGTACTCCTCCGGGGAGGCCTGCATGACCGTCGCCACGGTGTTGTCGCTCGAGTTCCTCACCCGGATGCTGTGGTTCTCGAAGTCGCCCCCGATGACCAGCAGGGTGGAGTTGCCCCGCATGACGTGGTCCGCCACCCGCGCCGTGGGCACTGGAGCGGAGCGCCGTCGCGCCCCAGCCGGGCTCTGTACCGAACGCTGAAAAAACGGATTCGAGGGCCCAGAGCCTTGGGCGTGGCTTCATGGGGGGGTCACAAATGGGGGGGTCAGAAAAGGTCCCCTTTCGTGCCCCTTTCGGGCCCCTTCAGAGCCCCAGGGGGCTCGTTTAGGTACCATTTGGGTACCCTTTCGGACCACACTCGCCGCCCCCCATTTATGATCCCCCATTATGCAGCGCCCAAGAGCCCAGAGTTCAAAAGAGTCTCTGGGTGCGGCTGGGGATCATCGCGTGACTTCTCCAGATGCCAGGCACGAACGAACAGCATTGTGTGTTTCAACGTGTTCGACCTCGGAGGAGGGAGCCGGACCTGGCCCCAGGAGACATCGAGGCGAGACCGCCGAGAAGCCCCCAGAGGCCCAGTGGCGCCTAAGAGGCCACCAAGAGGCCCACAAGAGGTCCTGACGCGGCGCACAAGAGGCGCTCAAGAGGTCCCTAAGCCTAAGAGGACCCCAAGAGGCCTCCAAGAGACGCCAAGAAGCATCCCACGAGACCCGAGAGGCATGCGAGAGGATTCTGGCCCACAACCCAGACACGATCCCCGGCATCCGACGATATGATTTGTTCAATCTGCGGCCCCAGAGCTACCGACCCCTTCTGCAAGGTTGATTCTTCGGCATGGATCCGTTTTTGATGATCCCGGGGCCTGGGGATGGGCCCCAGGAGGCCGAAACGGAGACTAAAACGCCAGGGGTGAACAAAACTGAGATCTGGGGTGGCGGGATGGGCCGAAGGCCGCCCGATACTCCCCGTTCTCGCCCTTCTGGATCGTGCCGTACGGCAGGCCCCACGGGCGCGAGATGCTCAGTGAAGGATTCTCGGCACCGCGCCACAGCTCCTCTGGGAGGGCTGCAGGAGGGGAGAGGAGGAAGAGACCAGCGCACACGCCAAATCGTTGCACACAGTCATCGTGCTACCATCAGGTCGGGCATGTCCCCCTACAGGCGGATTTTGTACGACAAATAAAAGATACCCCAAACAATGCCCCCCCAAATGCGCAAACATGGTTAAACAATCGTCCCTTGACTATTTTTTTGACTATTTGTGAACATTCCCGCTATAGAGGGACAGGCCCGACTTAGTGCTACCATGAGGAGGGCCAAGGAATGCACGGGGGGCTTTCCTGGCCAATGCGAGCCTCGAATGGGCACTCCGGCCTTTATCTAGGGAATGGCCCGGAAGCCAGAGCCCCTCCCGAGCCAAGGGCGGTCCTCAATCTCAGCGACTCCGCAGTACACGCGTCTCGCAGGCACCAGGCTAAGTCGGGCCTGTCCCCCTGCAGGCGGATTTTGGGCGAAAAATAAAAACTAGTCAAAACATACCCCAATATGATAAAAAAAAAAAATACAAAAAATCGCCCCCAGACTATTTTTCGACTATTGTTGAATACCAGGACCGACTTACTACCAGGCTGCTCTTATCTGAATCCTCCAGATGTTCACGGATGATCCCCGAGAGGTGGATGGTGGCATGGGGGGGGAGAGGGGAGTGTGGGTAGGAGGTGGAAGAGGAGAACGAGGAGTCCAGGAGTTCCAGGACCAAGTCCATGAGAGGTGGAAGAGGAGAACGAGGAGGGGGAGAGAGGGGAGTGTGGGTAGGAGGTGGAAGAGGAGAACGAGAAGTTCAGGAGTTCCAGGACCAAGTCCATGAGATGTGGAAGAGGAGAACGAGGAGGGGGAGAGAGGGGAGTGTGGGTAGGAGGTGGAAGAGGAGAACGAGGAGTCCAGGAGTTCCAGGACCAAGTCCGTCCATTAGAGGTGGAAGAGGAGGAGAAGGAGGGGGAGAGGGGAGTGTGGGTAGAGGTGGAAGATCGGCTACACGCAAGAGTGACCCTGGGTAAGAGTGACCTTTGGTGCGCGGCTTTTTGGGGGCCGCGGGGGACCAAACCTGGGCGCGCAATCCGCTGCTCCTGCTTCGTTTGCAGCCATCTGGGGGCCCATCTGCGCCCGGGCGAAAGGTCACTCTTACGTCTAGTCGAGAAGAGGAGAACGAGGAGGGGGATGCGGGACAAGCTTGCGGCCGGTCGCAACGCTGGCGGCCGCACGGCGGGGGCAAAGCCTCCTCCTCCTCCTCCTCCTCCTCCTCCTCCTCCTCCTCCTCCTCCTCCTCCCCTCCCCCTCCCCCCCCTCCTCCTCCTCCTCCTCCTCCTCCTCCTCCTCCTCCTCCTCCTCCTCCTCCTCCTCCTGCCATTGCTGCTTCCTTGAGAACTTGGATGGGGCCCTGGGACACACAAGTAGATACACACGAATCACAGGATTCCCCATCTTTTCCCAAGTTTTCAGGGCTTGCGTCCTCCCCCCCCCACTTCCCGGATGTTCCCACGTGTTCCTGGGGATCGACGATTCATTGTGTCTGTGTGTTTTCCCCCTCCTGAGAACTGTGCACGAACCGACGGGGGGGGGCGAGGAGAAACGCGAGGAGCCGGGAGGAGTTTCAGCTGCTGAGTCCTGGGGGCCTTCCTGGGGCCACTCGCTCCACTCCTGCGGCGATGCTGCGTCGAACGTGCCGCCGACTCGAGCCGAACTTGAGCCGAGCGATAGCCGAAGTAGGGTCGAGCTACATCCAGGGGCGCGCAAGCATGGATTAGCGATCCATGGATTTGACGCGCGGTCGCCAAATTCCATGGATCGGAGGAGGCACCCTCCCCCAAGTGCGGCCAGTGCCGCCTCGCTCGGCGGCGGCAATCTGCGATTTCCCATTGAAACGGGTCCCGTCGCTAATCCACGCCCCCTTGATCCATGTTTGCGATCGCCCGATACATTCGAACATTGCGCTTCATTGCCGCGACCGATTCTCGTCGTAACGTAACCGCTTCCTGCCATGAGTCGACGGCCTCACATCGAGGAACAAGACAAGCAGTGGAACAAACATGCACTCTCGACGGTCAGCGGACTTCTCGGATCGGCGGTGAAGCCCCCGGTCGGCGCCTCCAGCGCCGCCCCTGGGGCGCTTCGCGCGCCAGGGAAGGGGGCCCAGCGCAGATCCAGGAAATCCGCGCGGACCTCCGAAAGTTCATGCTTACGTCGCTGTGTGCTCCCCGACTACTTGCACTTGTCGTGTGAAGAGCCCTCCCTGTGGGGGGGGGGAGGGGGAAGCTGCAGCTGCTTTGGTAGGGGGCCACATGCGAACCCTACCCCTACCCCCCACGGTTTCTGAGGGGGAGGGGTAGGGTTCGCATGTGGCCCCCTATTTGAGGCTCCCTCCCCGCGGTGGGCCGCGGGCGCTCGCAGCTGGAGGGGCCGCGGCGGCGCCGTGGCGCGGCAGCGTGGGCGTGGCAGCGGGGAGGGGAGGGGCAGCTGCAGGGGCACAGTGGCAGCACGCAGCAGGAGGGGGAGGAGGAGGAGGAGGAGGAGGAGGAGGAGGAGGAGGAGGAGGAGGAGGAGGAGGAGCAGCAGCAGGTGCGGTAGGAAGAGGAAGTAGCAGGAGGAGGAGGAGGAGCAGGAGGAGCAGCAGCAGCAGCAGGATTGCCCGTGGTCCGCGGTGGAGAGGACCGCCAGTTGCTCGCGCCCGCTGAGCGTCTCCACGTAGATGCCAGGGGCCTACGTACCGCAGGGCCCCCAAGACACGCTCTCTGCCCTTCCCTCTTCTTGTTTTTCAGTGTGATGTATATGCATGCCCCTTCTCCTCCTCCTCCTCCTCCCTCCTCCTCCCTCCTCCTCCTCCTCCTCCTCCTCCTCACCTCCCGCCTCTTCCCTACTCCCCCCTCCCGTGCTCAATTTCACTTGCACTCGGACTCACAATCATAATTACTCATACTCAGACTCACTGCCGCAGTAGACGTCACTGTTCAGAGCCCCGTGGTCATCGCGATGAAGCACATGCACGACATTTGAACCGCCCAAGAGAGAGCCGGCCAACTGTATATCACAGGCCCCTTCGCGCTCAGATAGTCTGAACCTATCAAGCAGAGTTGCAATGTTGGGGGTGTAACGGTGTCTCCTTTCATGATCACTGCCACATAGCTGGCATGGCACTTGAGCCTCCCAAGGTGAAGCCGACCAGCGGTGCAGCACAGGCCTCATACCCCACCCATGCCCAGACTCGCTTACTACTAGGTCCACTCGTACTCAATCGCTCAGCACCGCTCGGGAGCATGGCTGAGAATCCGAATGGCCTAAGATGGCCTCAGGAGCCAGGTTGGAGCCCGCTTGGGCGAATTTTGGACCGCCTTGGAAGCCCTCAGGACAGGCCCATGAGGCATGTTTCGTGACAGCGCATAGTTGTTGCACAAGTGTTCGCGCGACCTGCTGCTCGGTTCGAAGAGTGCCCAAGATGGCCAGCAAAACCTCCAACATCGCTCCAAGACGGCCTCTAAATCCTCTAGAGGAGCCCCAAAGGCCTCCGAGACGGCTCCAAGAGGGAGAAATCGAACTGGCGATCCCTGGACACCAAGATGGCCTCCGAGCAAGTAGGAGGTACCCAAGAGGCCCTAAGAGGCCACCAACCCAAGAGGCCCCTAGTAGACCCAAAAGAGCCCCAAGGGGGCTTCCTTGAGGCCTCCAAGGGGGCCTCCCAAGAGACCCCAAGAGGCCGCGGGTTCACAACCCAGGGCACGGTGGCAGGTTGGGCCGAAGGCCATTTAGAGAAGCGTTTTCTAATCGGAGCGTCTTTGGCCGTTCGAAAGTGGAGCTCCACTTGGCGACATTTAGGGCGTCGTCCTTTGCTCCCGTCGTTAAGCATGGCGCTCTCGCCCCGGCGCGTGCTACAACTCTGGATTCGATTCTTCCTCGCCGTTGCCGTCGCCTTCCTTTCTCTCCCCTGCCCTCCCATGTTCCTCCCTCGGATTCTTCCTCAGCTTCCTCTTCTTCAATCTCCAGCTCATCCGCCTCCTCGTCCTTGTCCAATGTACATCAGTCCCTTTTTTCCGATAGCGCAGCAATGGATTCATCAACAGACCCTGCAAATGCCATTTGGGATCAAGGTCCTCTAGGGCACTCCAGTCGGCGGATGGGAGCATGTTCAACAAAATGGGTTGGGATGCGCGAGAGGGTAGGATGTCAGATGTGGCGCAAGAGTGCGTAGTGCGTAGCTTGCCCCCTCCCCTCTCCGCCCCCATCCACTTCTCCTCCTCCTCCTCCTCCTCCTCCTCCTCCTCCTCCTCCGCATCCTCCTCGCGCCACACCTTTGCCTCCTCCTCGTCCGTATTCCCCCTCGACCTCGTCTTCCCCTTCCCTTCTCCACATCCTCCTCCTCCCTACTGGTGGTGGTGCTGATTCTGCTGCTGCAGCTGCTGGTTCTGCTCCCCCTCCTCCTCCTCCGCCGCTTACTCCTCCTCCTCCTTCTCCTCCTGCTCCTCCTCCTCCTCCTCCTTCCCCCCCCTCCTCCTCCTCCTCCTCCTCCTCCTCCTCCTCCTCCTCCTCCTCCTCCTCATCCTCCTCCTCCTGCTTTGTTTCCCCCTCCCCACTCCTGCTCCTCCGAGCCCAGGGCAATGAGGGGCGGCAGGGACCAAGGCCCTCGACGTCATGATTTTGTCACAACGTCGACCCTCAGAGGCCAAGGCCCATTCCCCCTGGACCGGTTTCTCATCCTGAGTCGTTGGTTGACGGCCCCGAGGGCCGGCAAGGGCTCCAGAGGCCGAAAATACAGGAAAACCTCCCGTCATGAGTTGCTCATTCGCCGAGGGGGTCTGGGAAGCAGGGCAGGCCACGGGCAGGGGTGCGGCCGGCGCTTTTCGCCCCAGACCTCGGTGCTGAGCTCGGACACGCGCACCCGGAAGAGAGGCGCGCCCCCTCGCGCGGGCACCGCGCCGATGTCGAAGCAGAGCTCCTGCTTGCGGCGCCGGAGGTCGTTCTGCACGATGCAGGCGAGCCGGGTGCCCTCGGGTACGATCAGCAGCGGGCACAGCGGCAGGCCCGGCAGCATCGAGGCAACGCCTTGGGTGCGGTAGGTGCTGGTCGTCGAGATCCTCTATGAGCAGAGACCGACCGTCCCGACGTTCTTATCGGCCTACCACCACATGTTGTTCGATCATAAGGACTTTCAAATAGCGAAAACAATGTTCTTAGAACAGAAGGCCGATGCTTTGAAACAATACGGTCTGAGCCAAAAGTGTTATGAGAACATGTCGCGCAAACAACAGAAAAAATCGTAGAACAATATCTGGTGGGGCGATGGGCAGGTCAGGACATTTCGCCACTGCTTGACCTCTCGCAGCTGGACAGGGCGTTCGACGTGGCCAGGGATGTGCAGGATTTGGCGGCCGAGCGCTGCGCGTTCGAGATGACGCTCCCCGCATCGCTGTGGCTGACGCCTCGCCTGCCCCGCGACTCGAGTAGCCCATGCATGGGGTCGGACATGACCTGCCGGCTCACGGCGTCCCCGTGGGGGCTCTGGCGCTGGTACTGCAGCGACAGGAAAATGGCAGACATCGCCAGGATGGAAATGAGCACGGCAATGCACCTGGGAAGCGGACACTCATACGGGGCCACCTCCTTCCTCCTCCCTCCCCCGTCCCCCTTCGATGGACCTCCTCCCTCCTCGGACAGGGACGGGGGAGGAACGAGGTGGATCTTGTTGTTCCCAATCCTCCCTCAGTTGGGTACTCGTTTTGAATAGAGCACTGTGGTCGCCGTCATCCCGCCTCCCTCCTGCCTCCTGCCGCCTCCCCCCTTCTCCCTCCTCTTCCTCTCGCTCCTCCCGCCTGCCTTCTGCCTCCTGCCTCGTGCCAGCAGTCTGCCAAACTGTCGCCACTTTCGTGGGCTCCTGGGAGGTCCAGCGGAGGGGGGTCCCCGGCGACCACCACGAGACCTTTCGTGCGCTCCTGGGAGGTCCAGCGGAGGGGTGCCCCACGGGGACCACTATGAGACCTCGCCGTCCCTGGGGGGGCTGCGATCTGCGAAGCTGACGCCACTTTCGTGACAATGATGTCCCACGGGGACCAACATGAGACCTCGCCGTCCCTAGGGGGGCTGCGATCTGCGAAACTGTCGCCACTTTCGTTCCTCGGAGGTCCAGCGGAGGGGTGTCCCACGGGGACCACCATGAGACCGCGCCGTCCCTGGGGGGCTGCGATCTGCGAAACTGCCGCCACTTTCGTGGGCTGCTGGGAAGTCCAGCGGAGGGGTGTCTCACGGGGACCACCATGAGACCTCGCCGTCCCTGGGGGCTCCGATTTGCGAAACTGTCGCCACTTTCGTGGGCTCCTGGGAGGCCCAGCGGAGGTGCGTCTTATGCAGATCACAATGAGACCCCGCCGTTCTCTGGGGGGCTGCGATCTGCGAAGCTGACGCCACTTTCGTGGGCTCCTGGGAGGCCCAGCGGAGGTGCGTCTTACGCAGATCACCATGAGACCTCGCCGTTCCCTGGGGGGCGGCGATCTGCGAAACTGTCGCCACCTCCGTGGGCTTGCGACGTTGCGGGTCCAGCGGCGTTGCTTCCACGAATTATGTCTTCAAGCGTCTCTCCTTTTCATGGTTCCACACTCTCTCGTGGCCGCCTTCCTGCTAACGATCTGACTCTTAAGAGCGACAACGCATATGCGAACATGTGACTCTGGCCCGAAGTTCTTTGGCGAATCGTTCAAAGGCACGGCGGATCCTTCAGTGCTCGCTTTTGTATTGAACGGTCCGATGTATAGTCGCCTCATGTGTACAAAAGGGTTGGATACGTCCCTGGGTAGATATGCTGCGCGAGCTGCATCGGCTAAGGATGCTCCAAGGACGTCCAGCAACAGCCATGCCGCGCTCAGGACCCAGCCCTCAAGTTACCAAGAGGCCCTCAAGAGGCCCGAGCAAGCCCATGGAAACGTCCAAGATGCCTGCAAGGGGTATAATGAAAACGAAGGAGCACAGACGACAATACCGAAGGATAACGAGTGAAGGGAGAACGAAAGAGGAAGACCGAAGGAGAGAGGAGGTGGATCCGTATTGCTGTCCTCCCCCGAGCACCCCCACAAGACAACCTGCACGCCGCTGATGTTCCCGCTGAGGATGACCGTGAAGCTCGGCGCAGAGGCGGCGAGCTGCGCCGCGTCTGGGGGGGCATCTGCAGAATGGTTCGCGCGGGTGGTGCCCAAGTGCTGCGCGCAAGAGGTTAGGAGGTGCGCCACCGCCAGCACTGCGCGCTCCCCGAGCAGCGAGATACCGGCCTAGGCTGCAGCTCGGAAAACGGAAAAGTACCGATAACGCTGCCCCTGGCTCGTTTTCGCTTTTTGTGCCTCCTGGGCGACCCTTGTCGCCACCGCTGAATTCGCCTCGAAATTCTGGTCAGAACGCACCCCAGGAGGGTTCCGCAGAGTAGCGGTATCGGTACCTTTTGGTTTCCCCAGGAGCGGGAGGAGGCTGAGGGGGACGAGGGGGAGGAGGAGGAGGAAGAAGGAGGGATGGAGAGGAGGAGATGCAATCCTGGGTTGCAGCGGATGGCGCCAGAGGAGTGCCTTCGGGTGCATCTGGGCCTACCCTGCCACCGACTCGAGAGGCCTCGTGTTCCAAGGACTCGTTGGCGTCACCCTCCACAGCACTGCCATCCAGCATGAAAGATTCACTCAGTGGCGAGCTCGTCATATTGACACTAGTGATGTGGAACGGAGCAGTCAGGCCAGACACTGCATCAATAAGTATCACACATGCAAGAATGCCTGTCTGAATGAAGGGGCGGTATCGAAGTATGTCTGCCATCTTGTGACAACAAGAACATCCAAAACTTGAGCAAGCACGCCGGCAACGAGGATTACCATGACACCGTGCTGCGAGGGGGGGCGATGAGGTGTGGGCAAATTTCCGCCGCCGAGGCTGGAGTGTCGCCGCTGAAGTGTCTTCAGGTCCCTTTGAATTTTCGATGTGAAATGCTGCCTACTGGCCCCAGGACCCCAACCCACGGGTACACCCAGGCTCTTCCTGTGTGTGTATCTGTATGTGTGTGCTTTCCGTGTGTGTGTGTGTGTTTGTTTGTGTTTGTGTGTTTGCGTTTGCGTTTGTATTTGTATTTGTATGTGTGTTCGTGTTCGTGTTCGTGTTCGTGTTCGTGCTCGTGCTCGTGCTCGTGTTCGCGTGTGTGTGTGTGTGTGTGCGTGTGTGTGTGTGTGTGTGTGTGTGTGTGCCGCGTGACTTTTCCCGATGTCTGGGGACCATGGCTGGGGTTCTCACTGCCCACATGCTCAAATATGGACCCAAGGGACCGTCCTGGGTCACCTGGGAGCCTCTCTGGCCGCCTTGGAGGTCCCGAAGGCTGGCACCACGGAGCCGAACACATCTCTCTCTCTCTCTCGCCATCACCTGGAGCGCAGGGTTGACGCTGGCAGGCAAGGCCGCCGTGCGGTTTGCGCTCGGGCAGGCCTGTCGTACTTGAGGCGGCGTTCGCCACGTGAGTGAAAGACGATGAAAAGCAACATCACCCCCACGTGGTGAGACCAAGAACAAGAAGAGCGGTGCTTGCCGTCGGCCCTCTGCCTCTGCTACGTCCTCCGTTGATCCATCAATCCTCCCTCGCCCCCAACGTCCTCCCCCCTCCCTCTTCCGCCCTCTGCCCTCCGTTTCCCGTTCTCTCTCCTCCGTTCTGATTCCTCCGTCCTCCAAGCTCCCTCCTCCAACCCCCCTCCTCCAAACCTGACTCATAAAATAAGTCCCGCCTCCCTCCTCCGTCCTCCCGCCCCCCTCTCTCGTCCTCCCTTCTTCCTCCTCCGTTATCCAACCTCCCTGTATCTGTCCCCTGCGTCCTCCGCCTTTCAATATACGTCCTCTGCAAACCTCGAAATACACTAACATCAAGCGTGCATTTTTGGAAACATTGTATGGGCAAGCCTAGTATATGGGGAGAATTGCTATACAATCGTTAAGTGCGACCTTCTCTGCAGTGAAAGAAGAGACAGTTTCTCAGAGCAAATGCTGGCTTGAAGCTGGATCCAGCTGGATACCAGCAACGGAGTCGGAACACCAGGCAAACGTGTGAGGGGTGCACCGAAATGGGAGTGGAACCGCATGCGGGCGCTGCCACTGAGGCCTTTGGTGGAGCTCCGTATGGGGCAGTGAAACGTGTGACCGGTTCACCGAAACGACAAGTGGAACTGCATGCGGGCGCTGTCACTAGGGCCTTCGGTGGGGCACCTCATGGGGCCACGACACGTGTGAGCTGAGCACTGAAAGTAAGGGTGGAAGTGCATGGGGGCGCTGCCACTGGGGCCTTCGCTGCGACTCCCAAAAAAGCCACGAAACGTGTGAAAGGGTGCACCGACATGGGGGTGGAACTGCATGCGGGCGCTGCCCCTGGGGCCTGAAGTGGAGCTCCCTATGGGGCCACGACACGTGTGAGAGGTGTGCCGGAATGGAGGGTAAAACTGCATTCGGGCGCTTCCACCAAGGCCTCGTTGGAGCTCCCAATGGGGCCACGACGCGTGTGAGCGATCTGCTGAAATCGAAAATGGAACGCGGGCAGGCGCTGCCAGTGGGGCCTTCGGTGGAGCCCCCTCTGGGGCCATGAAACGTGTGAAGGGTTGCGCCGAGAAGGGGGCGGAACCGCATGCGGGCGCTAACATTGGGGCGTCTGGTGGAGCTCCCTACGGGGCCACGAAGCGTGTGAGGTTTGTGTGTGTACGTGTGCGTGTGAGTGTGCGTCTGTGTCTGTGTCTGTGTCTGTGTCCGTGTCTGTGTCTGTGTCTGTGCTGTGTCTGTGTGCCGAAAAAATGGCATGCGGAGGGTAAAGGCAAGGATGGGGGGGCGGAGGGGGCAGCGGAAGGAGGAGGAAAGGCGCGGGACATTCTCTTCAAAACGAATACCCAACACCTCGGGATGGTTGGGAAAAATTAGCTTGGCGGGGGGCCCAACCATATGCAGTTGTGGGTACCATCGTTGTGAATATCGCCGTCCGTGGATCTATGTAGGGGCCACGAAGCGCGTGAAGGGTGTGCTGACATGAGGCGGGGCCGCCATGCGGGCGCTGCCACTGGGGACTTAGGTGGAGCTCCCTATGGGGCCAGGACACGTGTGAGGGGTTTTTGGACATGGAAGGCGGAACCGCATGCGAGCGCTGCCAATGGAGCCTTCGATGGAGCTCCCATGTGGCAATGAAACGTGTGAGTGGTGCGCCGACATTGGGGGGACCGCATGCGGGCGCTGGCGCTGCGGTCTTCGGTGGAGCCCCCTATGGGATCACGGAGCGTGCGAAGGATTCGCCGAAATCGATTGTGGAACCGCATGCGGGCGATGCCACTGGGGCCTTCGGTGGAGCTCCCCATGGGGCCACGACCCGTGCGAGGGGTTCGCGGTAATGCAACGTGGAACTGCATGCGGGCGTTGTCACTGGGACCTTCGGTGGAGCTCCCTATGGGGCGATGAAGCGTGTGAGGGGAGCACAGAAATGGGGTTGGAACCGAATGCGGGCGCTGCTGCTCTGACCTTCGGTGTAGCTCCCTACAGGGCCACGAAGCGTGCGATGGCAAGTGGAACTGCATGCGGGTGCTGCCACTGGGGCGTTTGGTGGAGCTCCCTAAGGGCCTACGACACTTGGGAAGGGTGCACCGAAATTGAAGGTGGAACCGAGTGCGGGCGCTGCCACTGGGGCCTTCGGTGGAGCTCCCTCTAGGGCCACGAAGCGTGTAAGGGTTGCACCGAGAGGGGGGTGGAACTGCATGCGGGCGCTGCCACTGAAGCAGTCGGTGGAGCTCCCTATGGGGCCACAAAGACGTGCTAGGGGCTCGCGGGAAGGAGAGCGCGGGCGCAGCCACGAGGGCCTTCGGTGGGGCTCCCCATGGGGCCACGAAACGTGCGAGAAGTGCACTGAGTTGGAGGTGAAACTGCCTGCGGGCGCTGCCACTGAAGCCTTCGGTGGACCCCAATAGGGGACACGAAGCGTGTGATGGGGTTCACCGTCATGAGGGTGGCACTGCATGCGGGCGCTACCACTGGGGCGTTTGGTGGAACTCCCTACGGAGCCACGAAACGTGTGAGGGTGCACCGAAGTGGGGTGGAACCGCATGCGGGCGCTGCCACTTGGGCGTCTGGTGGAACTCCCCATGTGGCCACGAAACGACTGAGGCGTGTGTGTGTGTGTGTGTGTGTGTGCGTGTGTGTGTGTGTGTGTGTGTGTGTGTGTGCGTGTGTGCGCGCCAAAAAACTGACACGCGAAATGTAAACGCAAGGACGGGATGGGGAACAAGTACCCTGGCGAAGGACCCCACCATATGCAGTTGTGAGTAACGCGTTGCGGGTGCCGCTTCTGGTGGGCCACGCAACGCGTGATGGGGCGTGCCGTAATGCGTGGGGGGACGCATGCGGGCGGTCCAACTGGGGCCGTTGGTGGAGCTCCCTGTGCGGCCACGACGCGCTGTCATTAGTGGGTGCCACTGGGGCCTTCGGTGAGACCCTCCATATGGGGCCACGAAGCACGGAAGCAATTGGCGGAGCAACTGAAACCACCCCAGTTGCAACTGAGACCGCCCCCGGTGGCGCCTAGGGGGCCGGGGGGCGGGCGGAGCAACTGAGACGGGTGGGCGGAGCAACTGGGCCAGCAACTGACCCAACTGACCCAACTGACCCAGACTGCCCCACACTGCCCCAGACCGCCCCAACTGCCCCACTGTCCCAGACTGCCCCAGACTGCCCCAGACTGGCCCAGACTGCCCCAGAGTGCCCCAGACTGCCCCAGACTGCCCCAGACTGCCCCAGACTGTCCCAGACTGCCCCAGACTGTCCCAGACTGCCCCAGACTGCCAAGGGGGCCGGGGGCGGGCGGAGCAACTGAGACGGGTGGGCGGAGCAACTGGGCCAGCAACTGACCCAACTGACCCAACTGACCCAGACTGCCCCAGACTGCCCCAGACTGCCCCACACTGCCCCAGACTGCCCCAGGCTGCCCCAGAGGGCCCCAACTGGCCCAGACTGCCCCAGACCCCAGATGCCAGACTGCCCCAGACTGCCCCAGACTGGCCCCAGACAGGCCCCAGACTGCCCCAGACTGCCCCAGACTGCCAAGGGGGCCGGGGGGCGGGCGGAGCAACTGAGACGGGTGGGCGGAGCAACTGGGCCAGCAACTGACCCAAC